TATTTGAGCTTGCTCTGTTCTCCTAGTGTGGGCATTCATTGCTATGACTATCCCTAGTAGAACTGCTTTCATTGTGTACCATAAATTCCTGTATGTTGTACTTGAATAATCATTCAATTGTAAAAACTGTGTGATTTCTTCTTTAATTTCCTCTGTGACCCATTGGTTGTTCAGAAAAGTGTTATTCAATTTCCATGTGTTTGTGAAGTTCTTGCAGTTTCTTATGGTATTGATCAGTGTAATTTCACTATGGTCTGATAATATACCTGTGATAACTTCAATTCCTTTGTCTTTACTTAAACATGTTCTATGAACTAGTATATGGTCTATTTTGGAGACTGATACATGTGCAGCCAAAAACAATGTATATTCTGACTTTGTGTGGTGGAATACTTTGTAGATATCTATTAAATGGATTAAAGATCTAAATATTAAAATAGAAACACTAAACTTGCTGGAAGATAAGTTAGGTAGAACTCTTGAAGATATTGGCATAGCAAAAGACTTTATGAACAAATCCTCAGTTGCACAGGAACTAGCACAAAGAAACAACTACTGTGATCTCATCTTATTAAAAAGCTTCTGCACTGCAAGAGAAACCACCAAGAGAGCTGAGACAACGTACAATGTCGGAAAAAAATTTTAGCACTTATACTGCAGACAAAGGAATACTATCTAGAATATATAAAGAACTTAAAAAAATCAGACCTCCCCAAATTTAAAGACCCAGTTCAAAAATGGGGATCTGAAATGAACAGACATCTCTCAGACAAAGGAGTAAAAGAAGCAAATAAGCATATAAATAATGTTCAACATCATTGCTCATTCAAGGGATGCATATGAAAACAACACTGAGATTCCACCTAACACCAGAAAGAATAGCTGCTATTAAGAAATAACCAATAACAAATGCTGGCAGAACTGTAGGGAGAAAGGAACCCTTCTCCATTATTGGTGGGAGTGCAGACTGGTACAACCACTGTGGAAATCAATATGGAGATACTTCAAACAAGCAGGATTGGAAGTCCCATTTGACCCAGCTACTCCCCTGCTGGGTATCTTCCCCAAAGAATTAAAAGTATCATACCACAGTGATATATGTACACCCATGTTTATAGTGGCACAGTTTGTAATAGCTAAAATTTGGAAACAGCAAAATTGCCCATCTACTGGAGACTGGAAAAAGAAGATGTGTTTTTTGTTTGTTTTTTTTTAATAAAATGGAGTACTGCTCAGCCATAAAGAATGAGAAACTAGAGCCATTTATAGCTAAATGGATTCACATTGAGGTCATACTCTTAAGTGAAATAAACAGGACAAAGGTGTAAATACCGAATAGTTTCTCTAGTGTGAAAAACTAGAAGTGTAAATAAGAATAAAATGTATAATTGATATTGTGTAATAAGAAGAAAAGATCTAAAGGAGTAGGGGAAGTGGGAGGGGTAGGGGAAAGGAAAAGAAAAAATACAAGAAAAGAAAAAAAAAAGAAATAAAGTCTTTGTAAATAGGGTAAGGTGGAGGTGGTGAAGGGAGGGCAGGGGAATGTGGAAAAATAAGAACCAATATATGTCATGTAAAGGTTCAAGGTCCCAATGATGAATGGAACTGTATTGTATACCTGAAATGTACCAATAAACTTAATGGAAAAATAAAACTGGAATTCAAATTCATCTGCTGGAAGACAAAGTAGGTAAAACTCTTCAAACCTTATGTATAGGTAAAGATGTTCTGAATAAACCTCTAGTTGCACAAAAATTAATACCAAGAATCAAAAAATGAGATCTAATTAAAATAAATAACATTTACATATCAAAAAAAAAACCACTAACAAAATGAGGAAACAACCTATACAATAGGAGAAAATTTTTCCAACTACTCCTCAGACAAAGGAATAGCATCTGGAATATATAAAGTACTCAGAAAATCAGACACCCAAATTTAAATACCCAGTCCAGAAATGGGTATCTGAAATGAATAGACACTTCTCAGGTGAAGAAATACAAACTGCTAATAAATATATAAGAAAATATTCAACATAGCAAGTCATTCAAGAAATACAAATTAAAGCAATATTAAGATTCAATCTCACCCAAGAAAGAATGGGTACCCTTAAATAATTGACAATGTTGATGAGGCTGTGAGGAGAAGGGAATCCTTCATTGTTGGTGGGAGTGGAAAACTGATACAATCATTATGGAAATCAATACGGTGATTCCTCAAAAAACCTGAAAATAGAAATTCCATTTAATCCAGCTATTCATCTTTTTAGTATTTCCCCAAAAGAATTAAAAACATCAAATCACAGTGATGTATGTGTACCTATGTTTATAGCAGCACAATTCATAGTCAAATCTTGGAAAGAGCCTATATGCTCATCAACAGATGAATAAATACAGAAAATGTAGTACATATTTATACACAGTGGAGTACTACTCTTCAGGAAAGAAAGATAAACTTGAGGCATTTGTAGGAAAATGGATGCACATTGTGACCATAATGTTAATAAGCAAATCAGATGCAGAGTCCTGAAAATTGATTGGCTTCCCTTTTTTAAAAAGTTAATATATAAATAATGTATGAAATAAAAGACAGATAATAGGAAAAAAGAGATAGAAAAAAAGGTTATTATATTCTAATTACTTTTCTTTTGCTGGTTTCTATTTTCACTCCTCCATGGTATGAGAATTCTCTTTTCAAGATTTCCATGTCTTTGAAATTTTTGAAGTCTTTGTTATTGGTATTTCCAAAATAGAAAAATCAATGAAGATAGAGAATAACTGAGTGGTTGCCCAGATTTAGAGGAGAGGCATTGGAAGATGATAGGTAGTGAGTAGAGTGATTTGTTTTGGGATAACAAAAATGGTTTAAATTTGATTGTAGTCATGGTTGTACAAATCTGTCAATATGCTATAGATATTCCATTACAAACACACACACACACACACACACACATATGCACACATTTTCTCTAGCCATTCAATCATTACAGATAACTGGTTGATTTAATTCTGTATATGGGGAATTTAGTAGCAATGCACATGAAAGAACAAATATGTTTTTGATTCATTTTGATTCCCTTGGATATGTACCCATGATTAAAACTGCTAGATCATATGGTAGCTCTATTTTAAATTTTTGAGGTACCTTCCCACTATTATGTATAGCAGTTGTTCTAATTTACATTTCTATCCAGACTAATTTAAATCACCATCAATAGGGAATATCAATTTTTACTATTCCCTACATCCAAGCCAACATTTAGCTTTTATCTTTCTCATAATTGTCATTCTTGCATGTGGAGGTGATATTTTCTTGTGAGATTAATTTTCACTTACTTAATTTTTAATAATGCCAAGCATTTGTTTAGATGCTATCTATCGGTCATTTGTATGCTTCCTTTTGAGATGTTCCTCTTAGGTCCTTCTCCAGTATCTTCAATCTGATTATTTGTTTATTTGAAATTGAATTGTTTGAATTGCTTATATATTTTAGATATTAACTTTGTTTCAGATTTATAATTTTTAAATATTTTATCCAATCCCAGAGATTGTTTATTCATTGCTGATTGCTGCCCTTGTTGTGTAGAAGTTCTTTAATTTTACTCAAACATTTTGTTTTTGTTTTCTAATAACTATTTGTTATATTTATTCACTTTTTTTCCTTAAATTCTTTTATTGGTACATTTTAGGTATGCAGTATATTTACATTTATTGTTGGGTACTTGTACCTGTACATGATGTATCTTGGTTTTTATTTTTTGCCCATTCTCTGTCCTCCATTCACTCACTCCACCCTACGATATTTACAAAGACTTTGCTTCCATTTTTGCTTTTCTCACAAATTTTCCTTTCTCTTCTTTCCTTTCCCCTTCCCCTCCCACTTCTGCTACCTCTTTGGACCTTTTCATCCTATTTCAAATTATCAATGTTTCATTACAATCACTTTAATCCTTATTTATATTTTCAGTTTCTCACACCAGAGAAACTATTCAGTATTTGCATATGTGTGTCTCATTTATTTCACTTAATAGTATGGCCTCAAAATGCATCCATTTAGCTATAAATGTCTCTGGTTTGTCATTCTTTATTGCTGAATAGTACTCCATTTTATTAAAAAAAAAACACACACATCTTTTTCCAGTTTCCAGTTAATGGACACTTGGGCTATTTCCAAGCTTTAGCTATTACAAACTGTGCCTCTATAAACATGGGTACACATATATTGCTGTGGTATAATTCTTTTGGGAAGATACCCAGCAGAGGAATAGCTGGGTCAAATGGGACCTCTAGTCCTAGTTCTTTGAGGTATCTCCATGCTAACTTCCACAGTGGTTGCACCAGTCTTCACTCCCACCAACAATGGAGAAAGGTTCCTTTCTCTCCACACCCCCACCAACATTTGTTATTGGTTGATTTCTTGATAGCAGCCACTCTTTCTGGGTGAGGTGGAATCTCAGTGTTGTTTTCATCTGCATCTCTCGAATGACCAGTAATGTTGAACATTTTTTCCTATGCTTATTTGCTTCTTTTACTTCTTTGTCTGGGAGATGTCTGTTCATTTCAGACACCCATTTTTGAATTGGGTCTTTAAATTTGGGGGTTCTGATTTTTTCAGTTCTTTATATATCCTAGATAGTAGTCCTTTGAGGTAGAACTGCTAAATTTTTTTCCAATATTGTAGGGTTTCTTATTTTTTGCAGTTTTTCAACTTTATTATCCTGGATTTCTTCCATGCTAGCCTCAGGAGCTGATTCCTGGGTACAGTGAGCAGGACTGAGGTCAGACAGGATTGGCCCCTGGCCTCTGGCAGCTTGGAACAGCTGACCAAAAGAGAACAACTGGTGCAAAAGTCCAAATGCTGACACTTCAGGTGTGTCTGGCACCCAGCCAGGCTGCATGTTGGACAGAGAAACATCATCCTCTTTTGGCAAACAGTCCTCCATAGCAGCATTCATTCTCAGGGAGCCACTATGAACAGTTGGTGATTCTAGCCAGGAACTGCTATGCCCACCACTCACCCATGTCAGTGAGCACTAAGTTCTGCAGCGAGGAATCAGGGGTCCTCTCCACATACTGCACAGATTTTGGCCCACTGTTGGCACCTGGGCTTCCATCCAGCTGTTGCTCCACCAGCTGCCAGGCTTTGGAAACAAAGTGGATGTTCTCCTCATAGGCCAGCATGTAGGTCTCCTGGGTCCCCTTGAAGGATGGGGATGTGGCAAGGGGATGCTGGCCATTCATTTGACTGAAGAGAAGCCTTGGCCCTTGACTCGCCAGGGGCCAGGGGCCAGACCATGGCATTCAGGGCTGTGCCCGCAGGGGTGGTGAAGACAGCGGTGGGGTTTGCCAGCATTTCAGGAGCTCGCAGAGCCTGCTCTCCACTTGCTGCTGCATGGGACCTGTGTGGCCCTGCCCGACCAGCTTGCTGGGCCCCTTGGTAATGGTGTGCATTGTGCACTGGCCCGCACTCAGGGGCGGCCTGTACCCACTCACCCATTCTCTTAGCTCTCTGTTGGTGGTTTCTCTTGCAGTACAGAAACTTTTAAAGATGAGATCCCAGTTGTTGTTTCTTTGTGCTAGTTCCCAAGCTAGTGAAGTTTTCTTCATAAAGTCTTTTGCTATGCCAATGTCTTCAAGAGTTCTACCTAACTTATCTTCCCGCAAGTTTAGTGTTTCTGTTTTAATATTTAGATATTTAATCCACTTCGATTTTAGTTTAGTGCATGGTGATAGATATGGGTCTAGTTTTAGTCTTTGGTAGGTTGAAATACAGTTTTTCCAACATTTATTAAATATGCTATCTTTCCTCCAGGGAGAATGGTTGGCTCCTTTCTCAAAGATGTGGCTGAGTGTGTCTGGAGTTGTTTCTCCATCTTCTAATCGATTCCACTGATCCTCAGGTCTGTTTCTTTGCCAGTACCATGCTGTTTTTATCACAGTTGCTTTGTAGTATACTTTCAAGTTGGGATTGTGATACCCCCTGCCATGTATCTGTTGCCTAGAATTGCTTTCGCTACTCTAGGTCTCTTCTGGTTACAAATGAATTTTTGGATTGTTTTCCCTAGTTCTGTGAAATATATTCTTGGAATTTCAATTGACGTTGCATTAAATCTATATAGCAGTTTTGGAATTATGGCCATTTTCAATATATTGGTTCTTCCTACCAGAAGCAAGGGATGTCCTTCAATTTTCTTATAGCCTCTTAGATCTCTTTTTTCAGAGTCTTGTAGTTTTCAGTGTAGAATTCTTTTACTTTCTTTGTTAGATTGATTCCTAGACATTTCTTTATTTTGGATGCTATTGTAAAAAGAATTGTTTCCTTTATTTTTCTCTCAGTGAGTCTGTTACTTGTGTGCAAGAAGGCTATTATTTTTTGAGTGTTGACCTTGTATCCAAATACACTACTGAATCTGTCAATTAAGTCTAGAAGTCTTTTGGAGGAATTTTTTGGGTCTTCTATGTAAAGAATCATATCATTAGCAAATAATGACAATTTATCGTCTTCCTTTCCTATCTCTTGTCTACTTGCTGTGGCTAATCTTTGCAGAACTATATTGAACAGGAGTGGCTATAGTGGGCATCCTTGTCTTGTTCCTGATTTTAGTGTGAAAGTTTTCAGTTTTTGACCATTTAGTATAATGTTGGCTGCTTGTTTTTCATAGACAGCCTTAATCAGGTTGAGATAAAAAGCTTCTATTCCAATTTTCTGTAGCATTTTTATCATGAATGGGTGTTGAATTTTGTCAAATGCCTTTCTGCATCTGTTGAGATGATCATATGTTTTTGTCCTTGACTCTCTTAATATAGTGTATTACATTTATTGATTTATGTTTGTTGAACCATCCTTGCATCGCTGGGATAAATTTAACATGGCCAGGGTGTATGATCTTCTTGTTGACTCTCTCTATTCTGTTTGCCAGTATCTTGTTGAGGATTTTTGCATCTATGTTCATTACGGAGATTGGCCTGTAGTTCTCTTTTTGGGTTGGGTCTTTCCCCAGCTTTGGAATCAAAGTAACATTTGCTTCCAGGAATGATTTTGAAAGTATTGCTTCCCTTTCAATTTCATTCATGAGTTTAAAGAGTAATGGCTATAGTTCTTCTCTCAATGTCTTGTAGAATTCAGCAGTGAAGCCATCAGAACCTGGGCTTTTCTTTGTTGGTAAATTTTTAATTATGTTCTCAATTTCACTCATTGTAATTGGGGTGTTTAGAATTTTTATATCTTCTTCATTTAACTTTGGCAATTCATATGTATCTAGGAATCTGTCAATTTCTTCTGTGTTTTCCATTTTATTAGAGTACAGGTTCTTGAAGTAGGTATTGAAGATCCTATGGATTCCTGCTGGATCTGTTGTGACTTCACTTTTTCTTTTCTTAATTTCATGGATTTGAGTTTTTTTCTTTTTTTTAATAAGATTGGTTAAAGTTTTATCAATTTTATTTATTCTTCCAAAAAACCAACTCTGTTATACATTGATATTTTTTATTGTTCTCTTAGTCTCAATGCATTGATTTTTGCTCTGATTATTATAATTTCCTCTCTTGTATGACCTTTGGGTTTGTCATTCTCTTCTTCTAGGAGCTTGAGGTTCATCATTAGGTTGTTTATTTGAGCTCTCTCTGTTTTCTAATATGAGCATTCACTCATATGAATATCCCACATAGAACTGCTTTCATTATGTCCCATAGATCCCTGTATGATGTACTGGCATTGTCATTTACTTGTAGAAACTGTTTAATTTCTTCTTTAATTTCCTCTGTGACCCATTGGTTGTTCAGCAGGGTGTTATGCAATTTCCATGTGTTTGTGTGGATTTTGTGGTTTCTTATGCTATTGATCTCCAATTTTGTTGCTCTATGGTCTAATAATATACAGGGGCTAACTTCAGTTCTGTTATATTTACTTAAACATGTCCTATAAGCTAGAATATGGTCTATTTTGGAGAGTGACCCATATGCAGCTGAAAAGAACGTATATTCTGATTTTGTGTGGTGGAGCACAGTGTAACCATCTATTAAGTCCATTTGTTCAATAGCTTGGATCAGTTCTAGAATTTCATTGTTGACTTTTTGTCTAGATGATCTATTTGTGACAGTGGGGTACTGAGGTCCCCCACTACAATTTTATTAGGGTTTATTTGGTTTTACATGTCCATTAATATTTGTTTTGTATAGTTGGGGACATTTGTATTTGGTGCATATGTATTTATGATTTTCATCTCTTCCTCTTTGGGTCATTCCCTTCATATTGATGTAGTAACCATCTTTGCCTCTCTTAATTAGTTTTGTTTGAAATCTTATTTTTCTGCAAATAAGATTGCTAGCCCTGCTTTTTCTGGGTTATTCTTGCATGGAGAACTGTTTTCCATCATTTTACTTTCATCCTATGAATTTCTCTTTGAGTTAGGTGTGTTTCTTGTATATAGCATATTGCTGGATTTTGCTTCTTACTCCATTCTGTGAGTCTATTTCTTTTGATTGGTGAATTGAGGCCATTAACATTGATGGTTATAATTGATAGATATTGAGTCATCCTTGTCATGATGTTTTACTGTTGTTGTCTGTTTTATTTTTATTTTTCCCCCATTCTCTTTAGTTTCTTGCCTTGCCTGGTGGTGTCCCTCTGTTGGGCCTCATACAGTTGTGACCTTCATTATCTTTTTCTTGGATATTGTTTGAAAATGTTTGGAGTGCTGTTAGTTTTCATGAAATTTCTCAGGTGTTCTTTGTCATGGAAGTATCTAATTTTCCCATCTATGTTGAAAGATAATTTTGCAGGATACAACAGTCTAGGTTGGAAGTTATTTTCTTTTAGGGCTTGAAATACTTCACTCCAGGCTCTCCTTCATTTGAGGGTTTGTGTTGAGAAATCTGCTGTGATTCTGATGGGCTTTCCTTTGTATGTAACTTGTTTCTTTTCTCTAACTGCTTGTAGAATTTTGGTCTTTTGTTGGGTTTCTGGAATCTTGACTATTATATTCTAGATGTACTTTTTTTTAATCATGGCTAGATTGATTTCTATATGCCTCACTTATCTGTATGTCCTATTCTCTGCCTGTATCTGTATCTGTATCTGTATGTCCTATTACCTCTGTCTAGGATGTTTTTACTACTATTTTTGTTCACAGTTTTTTTAATGTCTGTTGTACTTTCTCTTTCTTTTTTGTGGACTCCTAACAGTCTTATGTTATTCTTCTTTGCATCATCTAGCAGCTGCTGGATTGACTTCTCATTGTCCCTTACCATTTTTAAGAAGTCTCTCTTTTCCTGGTCACTAACCACAATCCTGTCTTCTATAACTGATATTCTATCTTCACATTCCCTTAATCTGCTGTGAATATTTTCAGTGGAGTATTTAATCTCCTGGATATGTGTTTGAATCTGTTTCATGGATTCCATTTCTTTCCTATTTTGGGCAATCATGGTTTCCATTTCTTTCTTATTCTGGGCATTCATGGCTTCCAGGATGGATTTGAGCTCACCTATTTTTTTTGTTTGCTTCTGTTCTAGAGCCTGTAATCATGTCTTTCACTCTGCTCGCCATCTCTGTAGTTATCTGGGAAATTATTTCTGTTTTGAATTTTTCTACAGCCTCATTTATCTGTTTTGTTACTTCCTATGCT